GATTTTGCTGGAGGCTGCTGTGCATGGTCAAAATCCTCTCAGAAACTCCTTAAATTGCCCATAAAGTGTGGTTCCCAGCTAGTTCTGCCTCTAGCATTGGGAGAAGCCAACCCATCATCAGCTGAGTAGCAGAGGAAGCAGGGGCTGCTGTGTAGGGGCCTGTGGAAGAGAAAATGCTGATCCTTGAGCACTGGAGCCATGCGCACGGGGGTGAGATGCTCCCACTTTAAGTGACAGGTGGGACCCGAAGTGGACAGAGGCAGTGTCGATTCCAGCACGGCTCTGCCTCTTACCAGCTGAGATACCGTCGGGCAGGTTACTAAACATTTCTGGCCTCAGTGTTCCCAGCTGTGAAGTGGGAACAACACTGAGACTCGCCTCGAGTGTGATTATGAGGATGAGATGAGAAAGAACAGGGAGGGCTCTTAGCACAGTGCCTGGCACCCGTAAGTAACCAACCAGGTTTGGCTCCTGCCACGTCATTGTCACTGTCCCCGTCATCCTCTTCACCATCATTTCTTCCTGGGCTCGCCTCATCCCGTGGGAGGCTGGGTAGACTCACCCACACTGCTTACAGGATGATTTCCTCTTTCTTGGCTTTTCGTGTGTTTGTTCCAGGGCTTATCCTTGACTGGAGGAGGTTAAATGTGACTGTGATTTGTCTCCTCTGATCTGTGCAGGTGCTGGTGGAAACATAGGCTGACGGGGCCCCGGAGTGGATGGGGCCTGTGGTCACCAACTCCTCCGTGATGGGCCGAGGGGGACTCAGAGCACTGTGTGGCTTTCTGGGCAGGGCCATCCCCAGGTGTAGTTCTCCTGGCCCAAGGGCTGGGAACCGCTGCTTAGTTTCAGAGGTCGGAGGTCAGCCTGCAGGGGGCAGGTGAGGTGGGTGAGGCCCAGCCTGGTGACCTCAGTGGTGAACAGCATAGTGATTACACATGTATACTCTTTTTCATATTCTTTTTCATTACACGTTATGACAAGATATTGAATGTAGTTCCTTGTTCTCTACCCTTCTTACACTGTTAGTAGGAATATAATTTGGCGCAGCCACTGTGGAAAACAGTATGGAGATTCCTTAAAAAACAAAAAAATAGAGTTAGCATATGATCCAGCAATCCCACTCCTGGGCATATATCTGGAAAAAACTAATTTGAAAAGATACATGCACCCCAGTGTTCATAGTGGCACTGTTTACAACAGCCAAGATGTGGAAGCACCTAAATGTCTGTTGACAGGTGACTGGATAAAGAAGTTGTGGTATATATACACAATGGAATATTACCCAGCCATTAAAAATGAAATAATGCCATTTGCAGCGTGACCTCACCTTAATTTACATCCGCAGAGACTCTATTTCCAAATAAGGTCACAGTCACAGGTACTGGTCGTGGGGTGGGCCGTTTGGACTTGAACATACCTTGCAGGGCACTCAGTTCAGCCCCCAAACATGCAGTCATGTGGTCAGTGATGGGTATGTTCTTGCCGCCTCCTCCTTGGCGTCCTTCGGGTGCTATTCCCTCTTCTGGCCTCCCAGGGCCTGGGTTCCAGCCCGTCTGTGACCCTGTGAACTTGGGACGTCCTTGAGCCCCTGTGGATTGTGCTGGGTGAGGGGGTAGCAGCCCTCGCTATCTTATGAGTCTGTCAGAGTGAAAAGCCAATGAGAATGAATGTCAAAGCCCTTTAAAGATGGAACAAATGTCTGGTACCACTTCGGCAGAAAATGTCACAGGACAGTCACCAACTCTGGCTTTTAGCAATCTTAAAACAGCAGCCTGTGAGCAGCCGTCCTGGGAGAGTGCTATTAGCAAGGGCTCACTTTGGCTGTCAGTGTCCATTTCATCGTTTCATCGTTGTTTGTGCGTTTCTTGCGTGTCTTGCTCTCACTTCTGGGAGGCAGGCTCCCACCTCCTTGCTAACGATCCCTCCCAGGGGGCTCGGCACCAGGGAGACCTGCTTCTTGCTGCAGCCGGACGTTGGCAGTCCTCCCAGGTGGAGACAGGCAGGGCCGAGTGCCCCCAGCTGGTGGGGCCCGGAGCCTTGCTAGTCACTTCTGTGCTTCAATTCCTTACTGAGCAAATAGAGACTTCCGTACTGCGGGGGTTTCCTGGGGCTGCCCTAGCAGAGGCCCACAAACTGTGTGGTTTAAACAACAGTCCTCCAGGATCAAGGCGTTGGCAGGGTGCTTCCTTCCAAGGCCTCTGAGGGAGGGTCTGTTCCGGGCCTCTCTCCTTGGTTCGTGGATGGCTGTCTTCTCCGTGTCTCTTCTCATTGACTTGCTTCTAGCATGTCCATCTCTGTCCAAACGTCTCCTTTTTATGAGGACACCAGTCATACTGGCTTAGGGCCCACCCTCTTGACCTCACTGTAACTTAATTAATTGTATCTGCCATGACTGCTTCCAAATCAGGTCCTGCTCTGAGCTACTGAGGGGTGGTGGCTGGGACTGCAGCTTAGGAGTTTTTAGGGACATGACTGCACCCACCACAAGCACCCCTCTGCATGCACTGCTGTGAGGCCCCGTGAGACAGTGCAGCTGTCAGTTTCCGGTTCCTTGCTGTGCTTCTTTGCCAGGTTCGTGGGAGCACAAGGGATCCCTGTGTTTATTGGGGTGTCTTTGCATCAGGCACCGTCCCCGGGCTCTACGTCTGTTGTCCACTCGTTTTGTCCCTCAGCGACCTTTGAGGGCGGCACTATTTTATCCGTTTTACACATGAGGAAGTGGAGGCACGGAGAGTCCCAGGGTCCTGCAGATTTGCAGTGGTGGGGCAGGATTTGCACCCCAGCAGGTTGACCCCAAGATGGGCTGGTGAATACCATCATCAGTGGGTCCAGGTTCAGCATTTAACAATTGCTCACTCAGTACAACGAGGTGTGCTCGGGCGTGAGCCGGGCACCGGGGCTGGGAAGTAAGACAGGACCCCTGCCGGTGCAGGATGATGAGACCGAGGCGGCGGGGAGGGGGATGAGGGTGGAGACAGAGGAAGGGGGGAGGGGCCTGACAGCCTGTGGGTCACTGCTGGGGACCCTGTGCTTGAAATGAGGAATGGACCCAGGGCCATGGGGTTTGTCAGAGTCTTCCAGGCTGTCTTCCTCTCAGAGGACACTGACAGCCCTGACTCTAAGCATCTTGGAGTCACAAAGGGCCACCTTGAGAGGAAGACATCCTCCTGAGGGAGCCCTGGGGAGACGTAAAGTACCAGCCAGTCACCAGCTCCTGGGGGAGCATAGCCTCCGCTTTTAAAATTAAAATGCTAGAACCTATTGATAACAACACTGCAACGCCAGGTGGTGCCCTTCAGGGTCTTGGTCTGGGCCGGGGCCGTGGCCGTGGCCGTGCACGTGCACGTGTGAAATCGTACTCAGAGTTCTGAGAGCGTCGCACGCGTGCGTGATTTCCCAAGCCTGAGGGGGCATTTCCAAAGGGGCGGGGCCTAGAGGGGTTAAGAGCCACGGGCAGGCGGTCTTAAATGCCTTTATCTGGATAACGGTGGTGACCCCCGAATGACCTTTCTTCATAAACCCCCAGTGGCTCCATTGTCTTGGGACCCAGCCCCACTTCCTAACCTCTGCATTTGAGTCCCTGCTGCTCCAGCCCGCTGCTCCAGCCCGCTTCCCCAGGCTCACTGCCCACCCACCTGGGCTCCTGCAGGCCCCTGAATATGCCAGCCTCCTCCAACCTGTTCACCTTCCGTGCATCTAGGAGCTCCTACCACCTGCTCCCTGTGGCCACTTGGTAACCCTGTTACTGTCTGTCCATTGGGTGAGAATGTCACTTCCTCCACGAGGTCTCTCCTGACCTCACATCAGCTCTTCCCCTCTTCAGCGCCCCCGTTGCGACATGCCCCACCTCTGACAGCACAGCTGCCCACCCCTCTCAGCTGTGCCTTCCTCCTCATCACCACCTGGGGCCCATTCAGCCCTAAGTCGCAGCCCCACCACAGGCTGCAGAACGCTAGGTGGGCGGGTGACTCAGTGAGTAGGTGGCCGCAAGAAGGTATTTCCTCCCCTGCCCGTGGGGAATGGAAGCTTCCAGCTGAAGGGACCACTTCAAGATGGGAATGCTGGGAAGTGAGGTATAGAACTTGGGAACCCAGAGGGGAGTGAGCCCCATACAGAAGACCATCACAGATCATCAGGGTGCCTCCACCCAAACCAGCCCCTTGGTTACATCTGATGGGCTCTGGTGTCGTGGTGTAAATTATGATGAGAGTGATCATTATGAGAAGGTATTTTATTTGCTTCATATCTGCAAAGCACTTTCCCAGATAGGATCTCATTTGACGCTGGGAGGCAGCCAGGCAGGGATCAGCGTTTTTGTCCCCAGCCCCACAGAAGAGGCACATGCTTGCCTGGGATCACACAGTTCACAGTGTCTAGAGCCAGCTGCTTGGAGCCCCTAAGGAGCGACCACCGCAAGAGCAAACTCCTGACCTGGGGAGGGGTTTGGGGAGGGGGGTTCTGCTCAGGATCACAGGAGAAAGAAACTTTAAAAGGACTGTGGTTCGCAAGGTAAGCCGGGCTTACCTGCAGATGTGTCCAAATGCTTTTCAGCACGTGTGCACTGTGCACCGTGCACATCCCAGGCACCGTGCCGGGCACTGGGGCTGAAGGGGTGACCAGGCTCTTCAAAAGCTTACAGGGGAGACAGACACAAGAGCAGAAATGGCACTTTGGGCAATGACTGCTACAGCAGGGGACAGCTGGGGGGCTGTGGCCTGGCCTAGAGGATAACAAGAAAACATGTACGAAGAGATTAAAAGTCGTATGCTTAATAATATCAGTGTCAGGCAGTCATCCCAGAGCTGAGGTCACACCCCCGGGGACAGCGGCATCAGGGATGCTGGATGCTCTGGCCAGCCTCTGCTCCCCAGCAGTGTGAGTAGAGCGACCCCTGGTGGCAGATACAAGAATCTTCATTGTTCCCCGAGTCCAGGCAGCCCCCGCCTACTCAGAGCTTGTACCTGCCGAAGTACCTGTCATACAGCTGTCACTCACTCCGGCAGTGGCAGCGAGCAAGAGCTTTAAAACATAGTGTCAACAGTGTCAAAAAACAAAACATAGGCAAAATCCAAGAACATAGGGATAATATAAAAGGAAATAGAAATGGCCAGTGATCTTACCAAAAAAGTCAGTTCCATTACTTATAAAATCAGTACAAATCAGCAAATCCTCAAGATTCCATTTTATTCTAAATACTTGTCAAATTTTAAAAGTATCTCAGCACGGTTTGTAGTTGGTACAAATTGGAAACTGCGTACCTGTCTGATCAGAGGGACCCGACCTGGTGAGTGAAGGCGTTCCTCACATCAGAGATTAGTGGGCAGCCCCCAAACAGCACGTTGCAGAAGAACGTGCAGGAGACATCATCCTCTGAGACCATCACATGAAAAATGCACAAAGCAAAAAATCAACATTTTGGAGAAACAGACTTTTGAAAGAATTTAAATGTCTATGGATAGAAAAGAGCCTGGCGGGATATGTTCTAACTCATTCATAATATTTATTTCTGGCTATCACGGTATTCCTTGTTTTCTTCTTTTTTATTATTTTTCAAGATAATTACACATTTAAACTAAAGCCACGTAAAGCTACAGGCAAATGCTCCTGGGAGTGTCGAAAAGCAGGAAGGGTCGACAAGACTGAGCAGAGAGGGGCAGGAAGTGGGGCAGAAGGCCCAGGTCAAGTTCGGAGACCTGCGTTCTGGTCCTGTTCTCCCACCGCGTGTGCTGTGCGACTTCAGACAAGTCACTCTCCCTCTCTGAGGATGGCTTTCATCACTTGTGAAATGAAGGGGGTACACATCATCATCCAGGAAGCCCTCCACTGGATGGCACCGCCTCGAGGCAGGGGTCTGCGCAGGTTCCCCATGGCTGCGTCCCCAGCCCCCGAGCGGTGCCTGCCCCGTAGTAGGTGTTGAGTGACAATGAGCTGAACTGAACTGAAGTCAGCTGGAATGAAATTCGAATGGAAATGTACAGCACAGCGATGGCGGCCCTCGGCACTGCCCTCCACCTCCCTGCCTCCGTCTGTTCCTTTCTCTTGCTTGTCTCGTGTCTGTGAACTTCCGTCTCTCCCTTTCTCTGTCATAGTCCGTCTCTCTTCTTTCTTCCTCATGGACCTCCTCTCTCCTCTCTCTTCTCTGCTACCTTCCCTCCCTCTCCTTCATCTCCTTGTTTCCACCTCGTTCCAATGGTGATTTTAGGCTGTTGACAAAAATGTGGAATTCTGATCAAGTGAGAAGCCAACAGATAAACCCCAGAGGCACCCGAAGTGCTGTGGGCGGAGGCCCCTGCGGCGGGCAGGCCGGGCAGGTCTGGGCGGGAGCAGAAGGCTGGGTCCAGGCCCCTCCGGCTTTAACTGGTCTGGGCTGAAGCTCTGTTCTGCTGCTTGTTAAAAGCTTCTGGGTGATTCTAAGGTGTGGCCAGGGTGGAGACCCCTGGTCTACAGCGAGAACTGGACAAGACACAAACCATCACATAGGAACCAGAGGGTCACAAACTTGGGGCGTGAGGAGGAGGCACTGTGGGAGGAAAGGTGCTTCATTCCGGGGCGGGGGTGGGGGGAGTCAGGAAAGGCCTCAGCAAGGATTTGGCCTTTAAGCTGAGCCCTGCGGGGAGCAGGTGGGCCAGGCAGAGGGGCAGGGGAGAGAGGTGCAGGCAGCAGGCACTAGGGGTGCCAGGCCCCAGTGCAGGAGGGAGAGGGGTCCCCTCGGGGAGCAGAGATGAGGGTAGTGAGGCCCAGGGCAGGGGAAAGGGGCTTTATCTTTCAGGCCAGCGGGAAGCTGGAAGGGCTGGAAACAGGAGAGCAACCCCAGGCCCAGTTTCCATTTCAGTGCGATTGTTTGGATGCTGAGTGGGGTGTGGAGGCGGGGCGGGAGCCAGGTTCAGGGAGGGAGGGCTTTGCCAGCAAACAGCTGGCAGCCCAGGAGGATGCTCCAGGCAGGAGGAACAGCATTCGCAGAGGTGCAGAGACAGGCTGGGACCCGGGTGGGGACCCTGCGTCACAGGAGGCCCTGTGAGCAGAAACCAGAATGAGGGGCGTCAGGGCCACAGTGGCCACCCTGGACAGGCCCCCGCGCTGGATTTCAGCACAGGAGCTGGCCCTGGGGCCTGCAGGGAGCCGGGGTGCTGGCAGGCCAGAGAGTGCATTTTAAGGGCGTGTCGCTGGCCGCTGCGGGCAGGCTGGAGAGGAAGCAGGAGGCCCAGTTGGGGGTCGATGTGGGCTCTGCTGAGAACAGGTGAGGGCATGGGGCACAGATGAGGGGGGCGGGGCATTACCTGCTCATTTCCGTTCCTCTCTTCCCTGGAACCGCGCCTGACGCCGAGTAGGAGCCTAATGAATGCTTGGTGAGTCTGCAACGTCTGCCTCCCTGCAGGTCTATCCATCTGGGTCTCAAACTTTTACTAAGCACCTAGTGCGGGGCAGGCTAGGATGAGGGTGCAGACAGAATGGAGGCCAGTATCCTTCCTGCAGGACCTCAGGTGTGCTGAGGGGCCAGGTGGGAAGTGATCAGCGCCCGTTAGAACCGGGCAGTGGAACCTGTGAGAGACCCACCCCCGGCCCCTCGTGGACAGCGGTTGGAGCTGAGATTTTCTGCCCCCCCCCACGCCTTTGGTGCAGTAGGCGTGGTCAAGGTGCTGCCTCTAACGTGCTTCATGGGGCGGGCAAACTCGGGGCTCCTTGCTGTACCCCCTCTTGCCTTTTGGGGTGAGGCCCAGGGAAGAGAAGTGCCACCCAGACACCTGGCTGTGGCATTAGGGGCTTGTGGACAGTTGAGGGGCAGGACCGCCCGGAAGCCCGGGGCAGGCACCACCTCCGTGGGTGGACACAGGTGGAACTTCGGCTCAGGAAGGAGAGAGGACTGGTGCCTTTGGTCCCCCTTGGGAGCCCAGAGGCATCCTGGCTGCACAGACAAGCTCCTCGTCTGCTAAAAGGCGCCCGGGTGCTAATAGGGGGCAGTTTGGCTGGCAGAACCGAGAACACAGGACCGGATCATGTGCCCTCTGCTGTCCTCATCCAGAGAGGGGAGCTGACTCCCTCCTGGGGTCCTTGGGAGGGACCCGTGGGGATGGAGTTGGAGGAAGCCACAACCAAGGGCACTGACAGCTTTCTTGACTTCTTGTGTCTCCCTCAAGGATGCGCTGGGCCGTGTTCAGGATGGATCGCTGCTCCTGCCGAGGGAGGATGCGCTGGGCGCCTGCGGAAGCCACGGCCGGCAGACCTCCCCCGACTCTGACGGGGCCCCTCCACCGAGGGGCTCAGCAGGTGTGTGGAACTGGGGTTAGCAGAGCCCTGTGCAGACACCCACTGACAGGGGCCAGCTCGCTGACGACATCCTGATGTTGGGGGCGGTGTGGCGGTTCCTGCTCTGCAGGCAGGAAGCTGAGGCTCAGAGAGGTAGTGTCGCTTGCTCAGTGCCACACAGCTGGGAGAGGTGGGGTCAGAGCCTGCAGTGCCCACAACAAGGTCCTTGATTTAGGCTCACTCCCTCAGCTCCCAGAAGGGGGCCAGCCAGGAGACACACGTGCCAGCGTCGCGGCAGCGATGTCCCCGGGGGATTTGTCTTTGCAGAAGACTGTGTGATGACCGGGAGCTGTTCCGTCCCCCACCCCCACCCAGTGACAGCTCAGCTGTGAGATGGCTGTGAGGTTGGGGGGGCTTTGGGGGCCTAGAAGCCCCTTGTCCCTAAGTTGTCTCTGATGGGAACAGACGCATCTGATAACAGTCCCAGGTACAGCTTCCAGGATCCCTGTTGCAAAAGCCACTGACTCGGGGAGCCCCAGGACCACGGCGTCCAACTGGGGGTCTGGTTTACATACAGACTCCCAAGGCCAAGTGCAGTTTACGGATGGGGGGTCATTTGTACCCCGCGGTGCTGCTGAGTGGCAAAGCTGGCCTTTCCCCTCCATCCCGTTTCTGGGGAGCAGAGCTGGCAAGTCCAACAAGGTTAAATTTGTCCTTGGGGAAGGGGGCGGGGCCCTCCTGGCAAAGCCTGGGCGTCAGCTCCTCCATCCACGTGCTGACTGTGAGGGGGCGGGGACTGGGAATTGTGACCCTGCGTAACCACAAAGCTGTGGGGCCGAGGGAGGTGTCATGGCTTTTGTCGCCCGTGTGGGCTTTGTGATCGGCAGAGGTGGCTTCCAGACCTGACTCTGGTGCTCATCAGTGAGCGGTCATTCCCCATCTCCCAGCCTGGGTTCCTCACCTGACAGGCCAAGTGACATCAGGCCACCTTTCGGGGCTCAAAGGCCTTGAATCTGGGAGAAGTGATGTCTCGTCCCAGCAGCAGGTGGCAGTGCTGGTGGCCGTCGTGGAATAGCTCCTATGAGGGTCTCTTTAACCCTTGGGTCCTGTCTCTTCCCAGGCCAGCCCTCCGGGGGGTCCTGCACCTGGGGCTGCATCGAGGCTGGACAAGGACCCCCTGTTTTGATGCCAGGCCCGGAGACCACAGACGAGCTCCCAGGAGACCTTGCAGGGTCTGACTGTGGACAGGTGAGATCAGAGGCTTTCTGCGTGTCTGGGGCACCAGTTGGGTCTGATCAGCCTTACTGTGTGTGCTGCACAGTGTGGCTACCGCTCAGGAGGTGGGAGAAGGAGGTAAAGAAGCTTGGGGTTTGGAAGAACATTCTGGAAATAATTGAGAGGGAGATCTGAGGAGATGGAACAGAAGGCCTTGAGCTCTGGATGGGGTGGGCAGGAAGGGAGCCCCAGCTGTGTGCCCGGGCCCAGCTGCCCTGCAGCCAAGTCCTCACAGCCCCGAAGGGGACCGGAATCCTGTCTTCATAGCCCACACTGCACCATGCTGTCCCCCAAGGGTCTGGACACTAGTTCCAACCAGCCCTGATGTGGGTCTGTGGTTCTAAAGAGAGAGGCCTTACTTCAGTCATTCCCCTCCGGACCTGGGCGGCCTGGTGTGCGGTGTCACACCCAAGTGCGTAAAGAGCTGAGAACTGTCCCTGGGGTGGGGAGAGCTTCACGGAAATGCTGGGCCCGGTGGAGGGACGACATTAGACAGTCAGAAAACCAGGATGGGCAGCAGAAGAGCAGCCACCTGGGCAGACCCGCCAGGTACAGGCGGTGAGAGTAGAGTGGCTGGGGGGGGGTGGTCTGCAGTCACGTGGCCCAAGGGTGCTCGGTGAGCCTGGACGGAGCCAAGCGCCACCTCCCAGGCCTCGTCCGGCCTGGGTCTGTTCTGTGAGCTGGGCCAGTCCTCCTCTCTGGATAAATGCATTGAATAAGTGAATATGAAAATATATTCAAAAGTATCTATAAAACGCCTCCTGTGTGCCCGGGACTGTTCCCGGCCCGGGTCCCTGCCGCCGGGAGCAGAGTCTACCCAGCACTGTCCCCTAGAGCCTTCCACGGCGCTGCAGATACTCTGCGTCTGCGTCGCCCAGTAGAGCAGCTGTGAACCGCCCATGGCTTCTGGGTGCTTGAAATGAGGCTGGTGTGCCCGCAGAACTGAGTGTTAACTTTAATTGTTTCAAGTATGAAGAGCCCGTGTGGCCCGTGGCTACCGTACTGGACGGTGCAGGGCCATGGGGGAGTCAAACAGCACTCACACATACGCAGAGTGAAGTGAGTGAGGGAGGTAAAGAGGGAGATGAAGCGGGGTGAATGGGCAGAGAGTGGCGAAAGTAGCCAGGGAGGCCTTTCTGAGTTTGAACTGAGATGTTAATGAAGCAAGAGTGTGAGCCGTGTATCTGGAGGAAGGATACTCTAGGCAGCGGGAAAAGCAGGTGCAAAAGCCCTGGGGTGGTAGCCAGCTTGGTGTGTTAGGAAGGCCAATGTGACTAGATGAGATGAGGTCAGAAAAGTGGGGAGAGGCTGTAGGGGGAAGGGGCTGCTTCACACTTTCTCTTCTCTTCCTATCCCCAGTTTACTCCAGCTGAGCCCAGCTTGGGTGAACAGACTCTTCTTCTCATCTGTGGCTGCCCCCCGGGGCAGTGGGTGGACGGCTCACTCCTCCCTGTGGAGCTGGCCTGGATGTCAGAGCAGAAATTAGCAGCCGCCCCAGCCCAGGAGTCCCTTCTCCTGGTGCAGACGTCCACACGCCCTCCCTGGGGGCGGGCTGGGGACCCAGCTCCCCTGCCGCTGCCGCTGCCACTGCTGCTCCCGGAAGCTTCCACAGAAGGACTGCAAGCCCAGCAGGGCCTGGAGGCCAGGCCCCCGCCTGCTCCCTCAGCTTCAGGACACCCCAGCCGGGATCGTCGCCGGGCAAGGAGCCACGATGCCTCTCTCTGCCAGGAGTCCCCATGTATTTCAAGTCACCGATTTCCCAGGAGAGGGCCCAGGGATCTAAAAGAACTTTGGAAGGAGGGAGGAGGAGCCCCAGCGTGGAGACCAGAGATGCAGGGGCTGACGATTTGGGGCAGGAAGGAGGAAGACCTCGGTGACAGGTGCCAGCCACGTCAGGAAAGCCATGAGAACCTGGGCCTGCAGGATGGTGTTGGGACCCCAGAGAGCTCGCAGAATGAGAACGGGGGTCCAGAACCGCAGCCCCCGCCGGAGGCTCTACTGCCTCTGCTGCAGCGGGCGGCCTCGGTGTCAGTGCAGGGTCCTGAATCCCTGGGCAGGAGGGGGCGGGGGGAAGGGCGTGTCTGGGGCTTGCGAGAAGGAGGGCTGTCATCATCCTTATCAGAGGAGGAGGCCCCGGAAGCTGCCTTCTCCAGCACTCCGAGCACCAACCGGCCACCTCCCAAAGGTGCTCAGCCCCTTGCTGAGCAGGGCAGAGCCATCAGGAGAGTTCGGGGCAAGAAGATCCACGTGTGGTCTGCAAATGCTCTGCTTCTGCCAGAGGACAGCCCTGAGGACGAGGGACAGGAAGAGGAGGAGGAGAAGGTGTTGCATCTGGAAGGGTCCCGCTCGGGCCACAGGGATGTCCCGGAGGAGTCTGGCTCCGAGGACTGTGAGGTCCAGGAGACGCGTTTCTTACTGGACGAGGGAGGTTTGTTACCAACTCCAGGACTGGCCTTACTGCTGGAGGGGGCGGGACCCACCAGTCACCTCTGGGCTCCAAACGGAGGACACGATGGGATGGTGCTCAGGTTGGAGGAATTTGAAAAGGAGATGGAGGCTTGTTTCCAGCAACTCTCCGTCCTGATGCGTGGGAGTGGGGGACGTGGGCGGAACACTTCATCATTGGCGGGAGAGAACTGGAGCTTTGCTCGCAGATGGCCCGGCTGCCGGGAGGACGCTTGCCCTCAGCAGGCTTTGGCAAACCAGGGTACGGATACTTGGTTTGCCAACAACGCAAACCCCAGAGAGCGTAGTGAAGATGCTAAGCCGGGAAAGACAGAGGCCCCGGGAACCAGCCAAGTTCTTCCCGGGCTGGCGCCTGATTTGGTCGACTTGAGCCCAGGCCCCCCCGAGGGGCCCTCCGAGCTGGGTCAGTCCGGGCCCCCTCAGCAGCCGAGAGCCCTCGAGGGGGTAAGAAGAAGGTTTCGTTGGCTCATTTCTGGATTGAAGAAAGAGAGAAGCAAAGTTTTACATGGTAACGCCAAACTTCAGGGAGATCAGGAGAGATGCCACAGAAAACTGCATGTCCTGGAAAAAGAGAGGGAGAGAAATGCGAAAAAAATATCTGCACTTGAGCAGGATAAGAGTGTGCTGCTAGGAGACATCGCTCACTTACGGAGGGAGCTGGACCAGTACGTGCAGGTCATTTCGGACCTTGAAGACTGCAATGGGAAAAGTTACTGCAAAATTTCTGAACTCGAAGAGGAAAACCAAAGACTGAAAAGGGACCTGGGGCAGCTCCAGAAAGCCATGTCTGCGAGCATCAGAAAATCCAAAGGCGGGATGGGGCGCATCACCCTGGAAAACTGGGAGCTCAGTGCGCTGACTTCGGAGCTTGGGGTCAGTTACAAAGAGCTGATAAAGGATGTAGTTCTGGGAATAGAAGACATGATCCGGGCCTTCAGGGCAGAGAACGAACACCTACGCAGGATCCGAGTCCTGGAGGGAGAAGTCGCTTCAGGGAGCAGCACAGATGGGGGGCATTTGGTGGGAGCAGAGGCATGTCCCCAAGGAAAAAGCACAGTGGTGGTGGACAAGGTGAACGCTGGAGGAAAGGGGGTGCAGGTGACTCAGCTTTCAGAGCAACTGACTCTAAGGGTCCCTGGGCCACCCTCGGAGCAGGAAATGGGTCTGGCTGGAGGGTGGACAGGAACTTGCTCAGGCCTGGAGAATTCTAGATGCAGTTCTGAATCTACTGGTCCATCACTGGTCTGGGGAGATGCTCCAGGCTCCAGTGCCCCACAGGGAAACACTGGTGAGGAAGGAGTGAAGGAGGCACATATGGAGAAAGAGGATAAGGGACCACCGCACTCTGCAGACCGAGGGCGAGCTCTGAGGTCCCCACGCCATGGCCCCCTGGGTAGGTTGATTCTGCATAGCTGTTTAATCATCTTGCTAACTTTCTACCACACCCTTTACTCACATGTCCTCCAGCAACCCTGTGAGGGAGGAACAGTCACCATCCCCATTTACCAAATGAGAAAACGCAGGCACAGAGAAGTTAAGTGGTTTGTCCCGAATCACACAGTAGGAGGAGTGGAGCCCGGACTCCACCTGGGCAGTCAGACTCTGAGTCTTTATTCTTGCCCACGACAGGATGTGAGTCTGCCCCCTGCTTAGGCTGTTTTGGTATCTGGTGGGACATGGAGAGGGTGTTTACACTGTAAGATCAGAGCTCGTATTTTCAGACCGAGGAGTTTTTCAAGCAGCTCAAGGCATAATTCTACACATTCTTTCTAAAAATTAATTTTTAATTGAGATATAATTGACATTGAACGCTGTGTAAGTTTAAGGTGTACAATGCGTTGATTTGATGGGTTTATGTATTGCAGTCTGGTTACCACCACAGCTTTAGCCAAAGCCTCTATCACTCTGGGTGTTGGGTCTTGAAAGGAGAGAGCAGCGGGCTTTGGAACTCAGTCCAACAGGGTTCAAACCCGGTTCTGCTCTTACGGCATCGGAGACTTCTCTGAGTCGTCTTCCTCGTCTGTGGACAATACTGGACCTCCCGGGCTCCGAAGCTCGTGACAGTCTCATGATGGTCTTGGCTGTCTGCAGGATGTTTCCTATCGAGCCCTTTGCATACCTTCATATCCATTCTTGCTGCCTCTCTGCCTCTGTCTCTCTGTCTCTTCCCTTCTAGTTTTGTCAGTCATTTCACAGGGTCATCTTCTGGTTTTGTTGCTTTTCCTTACTGTATGTCTGTGTTTTATGTCATTGGTAGCTGCTAACATCTTCATTATTTCCTTTCTTCCACTTTCTTTTGGTTTAATTGGCTGTTCTTTCTCTCTCTTCTTCTGTTGAAAGTTTGGATCATAGATTTTCAACTGTTATTCTTTTGTGATCTATGCATTTAAATCTAGACACTTCTCTCTAAGCACTGTTTCAACTGCGTCCTGCACAGTTTGATACACTGTACTTTTTGTGTCTGTTCAGTTCAGAGTAACTTCTCATTTCTATTGTGATTTTTTCCTTGGCCCATGGGTTATTTACAAGTGTGTTGCTGAATTTCCAAGCATCTGTGGAATTTTTAGTTAGACGTTTGCTATTTATTTGTAGTTTTATTTCATTGTTATTAGAAAATGTACATTATGTTATTTTAATCTTTTGGAATTTGTTGAGATTTGTTTTCTTGACCGGGTTATGGTCTATTTTGGTAAGTATCCTATGTGTCCTTGTAATATGAATGTTCTGTGGTTGCTGAGTATTAATTAGGCCAAGCTGGTTAATTGTGCTGATCAAATCTTCTATATCTTTACCGATGTGTTGTCTGTTTGTTTTGTCATCTTTTGAAATCTCCAACTCTGTGTGTATTTGTTTCTTTCTTCTTTTTTGTTATGTTAGTTTTGATTCACACATTTTGAAGTGATTTATGAGATACACCCAGCTTTAAGGCTATGATGTATTCCTGATGAAATCGACTCCTTTATGATGATGAAATGTCTCTTGTTGTCTTTCACACGTTTTGCTCTACAGTTGACTTTTTTTCTGACATAAACGTAGTCATATCAGTTTCTTTCATAAATATTTTCATGGTATACCACTTTCTTACACCATCTATCTTTTTTATTTCAACCTATCAGTATCTTTATATTTAAAGTATGTTTCTTAGAAACGACATACGGGTTTTTTTTTTTATCTTAGTTCAGTTTGACATCCTCTGTCTTTTAGTTTGAGTGTTTGGTCCATTTACATTTCATATACATAATGGTGTAATTGGCTTTATGTTTACCCTCTTGCTGTTTCTTCTATTTATCTCTTCTGTTCTGTTTTCTTTTCTTCCTTTGTTTTTGGTATTAGTAAACTATATACTATTATTCCATTTTCTTCCCTGTTAGCTTATTTTGTTATACATTTTAGTGCCATTATTTTAGTGGTTATCCTAGAAATTTCAAAATGTATTATTAATTATTAAAATTTACTTTAAATTAGTACTTTCCATGTCTCAAATAATGCAAAAATCTTTTAATGGTTTAACTGCATTTCTTCCTTTTCTCCCTTTTATTGTTTATTTTTGTCAACTGTGTCACTTCTGTGTAATATATACCCTACAAGGTGTTGTTGTGATTGTCATTTGAAACAATCAACAATCTTATATTTACTCAAATCTTTCTACATTCTTGTGCTGTTCACTACTTCTGCTTCTTTGGATCTGTTTTCACACCTGCCTGAAGAAATTTGTTATTTCTTGTAGTGAGGGTCTGCTGGTGATGAATTCTCTCAAATTTTTTTTTATTGAAAACAATTTTTCGCCTCCACTTTAAAAGATTTTTTTCCCCTGGATTCAGAATTTTAGGCAGATACAATTCTGTCTTTTGACACTTTAAAGATCTCATCCCATTGTCTTCTGGCTCCCAAAGTTTCTTTTCGGAAATTGAATAATTTGTCTTTTTTTTTCCCCCCTGAAAGAGATGGATCATTTTATCTGACTATTTTAAAGACCTGCTTTTTACCTTTGGGTTTTGGCGGTTACACTATGATGTGCTTACCTGGGCTTTTATTGTTTACCCTGCTTGGTTTTTCTGAACTTCTTGAAACTGTAGATTCATGTCTTTAATCAGATTTGGAAAATTCTTGGCCATTATTTCTTCAGATATTTTGTTCTGGTCTATTTTTCTCTCCTTTTAAAGACCCAGATTTTAAAAAATTGTATCTCACATATTTTGAAACTATTCTATTTTTCCTTTTTTTTATGCCTCAGTTTGAGTTTTCTGTTGACCTTGTAGTTCACTAATCCCATGTTCTGCTGAATCCTGTTTTCTAATAAATCCATCCAATTTATTGTATGTTGCAGTTTTAGAAGATCCATTTTATCCTTTTTAAAAAAAGATTCTAATTCTCTATTGCAATGCTCCGTCTTTTCATTCCTTTTGTCTATCTTTTCTTGTGTTAAAAAAATATATATGATCAGTAATTTTGAAGGCCTTGTCTGCTCACCCCAATATCTGGATCATCTCTGGGCCTGTTTCTACTGACTGTTTTATTTCTTGGTTCAAGTCTCATTTTCCTGCTTCTTCCTGTGACTAGGACTTTTTATGTTAATGTTGGACATTGTGTAGAACATGGTGTAGAGATTCCTGGTTGTTAGCTTCCTCTAAAGAATGTTGAATGAGCTTTGTTCCAGTGAGTAGCTGAATGACCAGCAGACTGTGTTATTCCTGTGTGGGCCTGTTACAGTGTTCCCCTCAGTCCCAGGGCTTGATTTTACTCCTAATGTGTGGTCCTTCTTCTAGGGCATGGCCTTTCAGTGGTACCCGCTGAGTCCCCAGAGCATTCACCAAAGACTCTCCACTTTGGCTCGGGCGGAACACTGCCATCTTTGTACCAGTGTGTGACCCCTGAAATCTCTTTAGTATTGACCTCCCAGCTGCTGCTCTCTGCTAAGCCTCAGAGTCTTGCACTATACTTCACTGCTTATGATTTAACCAAGGACCCAAGGATATTTCTAGGACAGCATCTGAATTTCTTCTCTGCAGCTCTCTTCCCCCTGGTACTTTGTCTCACCAACCTCAGCTGTCATGGCATCCCTAAGCCCCAGTCTTCTATGCCGATTCCACCTAGCAGGACCACCATATGCAGCTTGGGGTCTATCTCCCTGAACCACGGAAAATGTTCCAGGGGGAAATCCAGGGGGATGTGGCGCTTTCCTTGTTGTGCATCCTTTCCCTCAAGGACTGTAGCCCTGCGTCGGCTGCCAGTCAGTGCCTGCAAAGCATCGTTTTTATACATTTCCCTCAGATCCTGTAGTTCTCAGATCCCAGCCACTGAGACCTGGTGGGAACTGGAACTCTGGGAGGTGAATATCGAGCTGAGGGTTTCAAGGTTTGAAAGGAACAGTAGATGAAGAACATCCCAGGCAGGGGGAGCAGCAAGTGGCCCAGACTCTGAGGCAAGAATGAGCCTGGCTTGTTGAAAAAGCAGGAAGTAGTCAGTGTGGCTGGAACACGGTGGGCAAGGCTGGGGCATCGTATGAGATGAGGCTGGAAAAGTTGTCATGAGAAAGATCACAGGAGGCCTTACAGGCGCTGGTTAGGGTCACCTCTCAGTGCCGCGGGAAACTGTTCGCGGATTTTAAGCAGGAGAACAACATGATTAATTTTTTTTGTAAGAAGATCACTGTCTGCTGTAAGGACAAGGGGCAGGTGGGCACAGGGCGGACAGTCAAGAGGATTTTGCGGAGAGATGATACCAGAGGGGAGGAACTTGGAATTTGGATAAAAAGAAAAGGGGGGGGATTCCAGAGAAAAGCTAGAATTGGAAGCAATGGAATTGGTTGGCGGATAGGGGGTAGAGGGTGAGGAAAGCTTCCCCTTCCCTTCATCCCAGGTCACAAACCTGGTCATGTTTTTCTTTGGCTTAAAACCCTTCTATGTCTTCCTCCTGAGCTTGGTATGAAGTCCAAATTCCTTCTGGCGAGTTCTAATCTGGCCCCTTGAGAGCTGCAGCTGTTGCTTTATATTTTCCGCAGTCCCTACACACCTAGACCCTCGGCCCACCCCTCCCTGCACCCGGCTTTCTCCTGGGGTCTGCTGCCATCCTCAAGGTCTCACGTTAGGGCATCTCCCCCCCACCCCCAGGATGGGTTCAGTGCGGAGGCAGCTCGTGCACATCTCTCACCAGCTCTGCACTCAGTGATGCCGTTTGGTTACCTTGCCGTGGCCGTGATGGTGCACACACCACGGAAATGGCAAATGCTGCACATCTGTGTGCCCCTCCCTCCCCGGAGAGTGGGCATTGTACATTCGCCGCCACCTCGCTGGGTGCTATGGGCACCTCTGATGTGGTGCCTCTCTTAGGCCCCTGCAGCCCCCTGGCTTCCCCTTACCATGCTGTGTTGCATGGCCTGTGTCTGCATCAATCTCTTCCACCAGACAGAGCGCCGCGAGGGCCGCGTTCACCATGGCTTCCAGCCCAAGTGCGTGGCCAGAGCATGTGCTTCCGATGTCTGCTAGGGAGCAAGTGGGCCAAGGGGTCGTTCACAGGGGTCGCTGGGCAGTGCAGTCCCAGGTGACAGGCAGGGTCAGCCTCCCCCCCACACTCTCATTCTCTTTAGAATGTGCTGTGGACACTCTCTTAGGATTCTCGAGACGAAACCCAAGTCACTGCAGAGGAGGGAGGTGGCAAAGGACCGAACTTTCCAGAAAGGCTAAGTTGTTTTGCAACTTTGTTTGGAGCTGGTTGTCTGGAACCGCTCGGAGCGCCCATCTGTTCTTGACAGGGCCCAGCCTGTGAGTCTCAGGCCCACGCACTGTGAAGTTCTGTTAATTAAAAAAGTCGCATTCTGCCATCATATTCCCGGCTAACAGGGAAGAGGCCTGACAGCCAGTCATGCTGATTCTGCCCTCCCGCCCTCACCTCCCTCTTCCCTCTCCTCTCCAAGCAGAGTGGCCTGGGCCGCTCCTGGCATCTCACGCCCAGGTCAGGAACATGTGGAAGGGATGATCTTTGCGGGCCTTCAGTTCCCAGGGTGGCTGCTTTAAACGAAAGGTAGACCGCCGTGAGCAGGAGCACGGGCGCCTTGAGAACCCCTGCATCTCCGGGTCCCCGCCTCGTGGCAGCGGGAGCTCGCACTCCTCACAGCCCTGCTCCTTCCCAGGGCCGCCCGAGGAGTTTGAGTCAAGAGCTCAGTGATGATGCGGATATTCCGCCTCTGGTGGTCTCAGGGGACGAGCCAGAGGTGTGTCAGGCATTTATGGGTGAGGGTCTCCATCACAGCCCCAATGGCAGCAGCAAAATGTCAGCATAGTCTGAGTGTTCAGAGCGCCACGGAGCACTGCATGTGTGCTGGCGGCGGTGTGTTCGACATTTAATGACATTGGAGAATGCCCGTGATGTGGTATTAGGGGAGGAAAGCAGAATGCAGAAGATGTATATGGCATGTAAGTGACACAGAGAAAAACAGACATGAGAGGTGCATACACACACACACACACACACACACGCCTATGTTTACGTATGCACATTAGGTATTTTAAAAATTTTAAAGTCCAGAACCACTGGGGCAAGAGCATCACTACCATTTGGCCGAACTCCCCACAGTGATAAATCAGTCTCTTCCTTCTTACCTTCTGCCCGCCCAGAAATGCCCTGCTGATGTTCACATGAAACCCGCTCGTGTTTGACCCAAGAAGAGCGAGAGGCTATTTTATACTGATTTAAGAAAAGTGTGTGTGGGAAATGCAGTTATGTTTTATATAAATACATGAAACATGAATATCATGAGCATCTCACAACTGGATTTGAACACTAAATTTCATTCATTATACTGTGTTTCAGTATAATGGGGACTGACATCTATTCAGACTCTGAAATATGCTATTTTGCATATTTTTCACATGCAAAGAATAATATTCTTTTGAAAATAGCATTCGAGAATGTTATTCTGCGATTCCCTGGACCCTCCCCAACTCCCCCACTCAAGAAACCCCGCGCGGGCCACACACGCATATGCACACGTGGATAACAGCATGGCCGAAAGACTGAACATGTGAGGGAAGCTCTGGGTAATAATGTTCATGCTGGCTGATAGTTTTTGGAGTCATCTCTGTTACTTTATTTTGTACAATTTATCTGCTATGAGAAAACGTAAGCAGGAAAAATGTTTAAGAAGGAAAATGGGTACTGTCTGTTGGCAAAGGCAAAGGACTTGAAAGATAACCTAAGCGTTTCATCCAAATCTGCTCCAGGAGCCGGAGGCTGAGGCCTCCGAAGAGGACCTCAGGCTGCGCATCAGGCAGCTCCGTCACCAGGCGCTGACTCTGCGGTGCCAGCTCAGGGACCAGGGCTCGGTGGTGCCCCGGCCGCTGCCGGCCTCCCACGGTGAGGTCGCCCATCTCCGGGGCCAGGTAGGCGGAGCCCGCCGGCAAGGTAATCTTCCCTCGCTCCGGGGAGTTCCGAGCGTAGGAAAAAGAATTAGGTAAGCTCTCACTGACCATCCCCAGCAGTCTGAACTTGTTCATCAGATTTCTAAAGTGCAGCACAGTACAGGAAGAAGAGCTTCTCGTCCCTCCCACCAGCTGTGTAACATACTGTAGTTTTGCCAGATGTCCTCACTGGAGGAAACCGGGCAAAGTATCCAAAGCATCTCTCTGTATTATTTTTTTACAACTGTTTGTAAATCTAAAATTACCTCAATCTTTAAAAAATGCAAAACAATGGTCCTTTTCTCCCTCTCAACCCCAACCCCTGCTGACTTCCATTTTTTTCAACCCCATCTACCCACATTCAGCACCTGTGTGTGTTCGTATGTGAAATCACACCACGCAGAAACATTCTGCATCCTAATATTATCACTGAATGAAAGATCTGGGTGATGTTCCATATCAACACACGCACGCTGGGCTTCATTTTAAACTCTTGCACATTATTTTTCAAGAGGCCAAACCATATGTTACTTAAGCAATTCTTTGTGTATAGAAACCCAAATTGTTTTTGTTGCTTTGCTTTACAAACAAGGCTTCAGGGAACATTTCTCTGCCTGTATCTTGGAATATGTTCCCACTACATGGGTAAAGGGTAAAATCCCAGTGAAAGAATGACGAGGTCAAAGGCTATGTGCCTAATTAACTTTGAAGATGACGGCAAACGACCTCCAAAATGGCTGCATCATTTATGCTCCCGGCAGGAATAAACGAGTGTATGTGATTGCCCACAATTTGTTACCCTGAACCACACTTCACATTTTTTTCACAAGTTAATGGATGAAAATATACCATCAACATTTTCGATATGATTTCTGACTCCTGTCTTATGCATTCTTTGCATAATGGAACACACTACACATAGAATTGATGCCCTCCATCTGTGTTTCATAGCTTTTGTGTCCACTAGTTTTGGGCTGTGGAGTATCTATGGGGTGGATGTGATTTTGGTTTCTCCTAGTGTTGTATCTTTCTGTAAATTTATGTATCATTGTTTATATAAAATAGTTCAGAGAATTGGGATCACTGGTTCAGAGGAAATAGTGTTCATTCTTAATACATATGGCAAATTTGCTTTCCAAAGTATTGGTACCCACTTCCAAAGCCAAGGCAATAAATGAGGGTATATTTGTCACTCTGCCCTTAACCAGTTTGGGTGGTTTGTCACCAGTTTTTGTCCTGTCTGTCACTGATCTGTGAAAAATATAACTCCAGTTACACACGTTAGCCTTTTTTTTTTTACCATATCCAATGTTTTTATGTCTTTTTTAAAAAATAATTTTCATTTTTTTGTCTTTCTCTTCTTCAGTTTGGATATTTTTTCTAGTCAGTCTTCCAGTTAAATAATGTTCTTTGGTGAGTCGAATTTGCTCTAAAACTCATTATTTTAGTTCTTAATTTCAGGAGTTGTATTTTACTGTCCTAGAAGTTACATTTGATTAATGTTTTATAGTTTCCAGATATCTGATAAAATTCTTTTTTTAATTGAAATATAGTTGATTTACAATGTGTGAGTTTCTGATGTACAGCAAAGTGATTCAGTTTTATGTATGTATACATATATATTTTTCAGATTCTTTTTCATTATAGGTTATTACAAGATGTTGAACATAGTTCCTTGTGCTATACAGTAAGACCTTTTTGTCTATCTATTTTATATACAGTAGTTTGTATCTGCTAATCCTAAACTCCTAATTTATCCCTCCCCTTCTTACCTGTTTCTGTTTTGTAAATAAGTTTATTTGTACTATTTTTTAGATTTCACACGGAAGTGATATGTGATATTTATCTTTCTCTCTCTGACTTCCTTCACTTACTATGATTATCTCTAGGTCCATCTGTGTTGCTGCAAATAGCAGTATTTCATTCTTTTCTATGGCTGAGTAGTATTCCATTTTATATATATGTATGTATATGTATATATATACACATATATATATACACACACATATATATACACATACACATACACCATTTTATACATACACACACACACACACACATGCACCCCCTACATCTTTATCTAGTCATCTGTCTGATGAACTTCTTGTTATGTAATTATTAAGTTACTTCCAGGTCTGTCTCTGGCTCCACTTTCTACTTTCACTAGCAGTGTGTGAAGGTCCCAACTTGACGTTCTCACTGACATTTGCTACTGTCTGTCTTTTCGTTGCCAACCATCCTAGTGGGTATGAAGTGGCATCTCGCTGTGGTTTTGAGCTGTGTTTCCGTAATGGCTAATAGAGTTGAGCATCTTTTCGTGTGTTTATTTGCAGTTCATCTGTCTTCTTTGGAGAGACGCCTGCTCAGATCCTCTGTCCGTTTTGTAATTGGGTTGTTGATTTTGCTGTTGCTGAGTTGTAAGATTTTGCTCTGTGTTCCGGATGCAGTTCCTTTATTAGATACAGGATTTGCGAACATCTTCTCCCATTCCATTGTCTTTTCACTTTCTTTTCATTTGTTTTTTAGCTGCAAATGCCCCAGTACGCAGCTCACAGCGACACATTCATGCTGTTTCTTTTTTTATATATATATTTTAACACCTTTATTGTGGCATGGTTCTTGTACAGTAAACTGCACATATTTCAGATTCACAATTTGGTGAATTTTGATAGATGTACACACCCATGAAACCACCACCGCAGTCAAGACAGCTAACATTTCCGTCACTCCCCAGGAGGTGCAATTTTTAAATTCCCAGTTTATCCCTTCCCACACGACATATTCATGCTATTTCTTGGACTGAAGTAGAGAGAAGATTTCATCCAAGCCTGCAGATATTACTGTGCGTCTTTTGAATCTAAGACAGTCTACGTGGAGCTGGCATTTTGCTCTTCGGCTATGTCCAGAAACATGTGCCAGAATAGATTTATAGAAATGTTCATTAAAGCCTTGTTTATGAAGCAAAAAAACAGAAACAATCTATGTTTTCATAAACAAAGAATTGGTTAAATCAATTTTGTTCCAGCCTCATGATTAAATAATATGCAAGATTCTGGAAGAATGTGATCAGTTTGTCTATATTAACATGGAATTACCACCACAGCTTTATGGTAAATGACAAAAGCAAGCTGTAAGAGCAAGCTGTAAGACATTTTGTCTAGTGTAGTTTCATGTGCGCGCATACACACATATGCTTTCTGATCATGGGTAGCAGGGCTGAAAACAGTACAGAGGTCAAAGGAAGTCCGGGGGACAGGAAGAAGGGCTTTTATCCATACAGCTTTCTTGTACTGACTACAGAGAGAAGCAGAGAGTGAGTGAGGAGTCACAGAACACCCGCCTTACAACAGCATATGACTGTGGGTCAGGGGTTCGGGCAGGACTCGGCTGGGCGATTCCGCCCACAGAGCAGCAGCGGGGATCACTTGCTGGTATTCAGCTGGGTGCTGGGCTGGGCTGGACAGTCCAAGGTGGCTTCACTCACGTGCCTGCCCCCAGAGAATAATAATGGTTTACATTTCCTGAGTCTTGACCGACGCCAGTTGTTCTAAGACTTTATAGGAATCAATTCACAGAGTCCTCAGACCATCCTCACCATTGGGCGGGCACTAATATTACCCCCACTTTGCAGAAGAGAAAACTGGGGTAGAGAGAGGCATGACTTGCACAAGGTCATGGTGCGAGTGAGTAGCTGGGCTGGGGTGGGACTCAGGGCATCTGGCTAGCGGAGCTGTAGGTTTAACACCGCACCAACAAACTGACACTTCCGCATGGGGAATCGGCAAGGCTTCCTTCCTGGAGGAAGAGGCAACGGGGCAATCTGGCAGGGCTCATTCTCCAGTGCTCAGAGCATCCTCCCTCCCTGATCCAGCAGAGCAGCTGATGGGAAAGGCCCCTGTTCCCACTAAGAGCTCTGATAGGGGAAGGGGGAATGAAAGCCAACCTCCCTGAGCGCTGTTCGCCCGCGGAAGTGCTGGGCTGGGTGAACGACGGTTCTCAAAAATGTTGCTTCTCTTTCAGCTTGACGAACTTCAGAAAAAGCACCACGAGGCAAATTTGGCTGTGACACCTTTGAAGGTAATATGTGTGTGAAATCAATCTGAAGTGTCTGTTTCAGAAGAAAGGAGAGCCTAGCACTTTCCCCATTACGATGTAGCCCATCTCTATCATACAAAAACACTGGGAAGAAGAATGAGACAGATTTCACCCCGAGTTCCCATTTGCATTCAGCGTTTTCATGTATCTTCTTCCAGTGCATTTTCCATGTGTCTGAGCTCCCACTGTTCCCGTGTGTCTGTGTCCCGCTTTCCCCGCTTAAGTGTGTAACCGACGTCAGAGCTGTCCTCGCCTTTGCCAGCCTTGGAAGCTGCTGTCCACGGCGGAGTGTAAAGCGTGAGACACCCCAGTTCATAAACCGCCAGATCCTCAGGGGTGTTCGCGTCAGTCTGTCTGTCTTCCCTCTGTCCTCCCCTCCCTCCCTCTCTCTTTTGCATTACTGTGTGTATGTATATGGGGGGTTATATTGTATATATATATATACACACACACATTATTGTGTATAAATACTATGATGCACGTTTTTTATTAGAAAAGGTTCCCCACATATCTAGACGTTTCTTGAAGACAGATCCCCAGAAGTGGCAGCACTGGCTCACAGGCTCCGACATGCTAGTCAGACGTGTAGTCTGGTTGAGATGAGACATTTACTCTCAAATGTGGCACCTGGACTTGGGCGGTGGACCTGGAGAGGCTGCCCTTCCTACTCTCCGGGCGCGGTGGGCCAGGAGCTCTCTGAGCTGGGGGCTAGAAGGACGTGGTTGAGCCCGACCCCACTGACTC